AAAAGCATATTGCTAGCTTGCAAAGAAAGGCAAAACTTGCAAGCTTGCATATCTAAGGGAGATAGTCTTGCTAGCTTGTGCATCACAAAAATTGGCAAAAATATGCTAGCTTGAATAGCAAAATTGCTAGAAAGGCAAAACTTGCTAGCTTTCACTTCTCAAAAGAGAAGAAAGAACTTGCAATCTCAAGAGAAGCAAAGTACTATTTTGCCTATCTTAAGAAGGAAATATGTAAACTTACAAAATTTGTAATCTTGCACATCTTTAAAATTAATGATGATTTGATGATCATCATGTTGTAAAGTGATAAAAAATTTGCTAGCTTGTATGTTATAAAACTTGTATATATAAAAAAACTGACTAGATATACTTCTCCTTTTAGTTGATGACAAAGGAAGAGAAGTATGATGACGATATTAAAATTTTATGCATGATTTTATAATGACATGTTACTTGGATTTTTGAATTCAAGAGTTCTATCAATATGATATATTGATAGGGAGAGTTTAGTTTAAACTCTGTTATCAATTATTTGTCACCATAAAAAAGGGAGAGATTGTTGAATCTCGGATTTTGATGATGAAATCAATTGATGTGTTTGTGATCTGATCTATGTTTTGAGTGGCGCAGGAAGCTTCGATCAGGGAGATACAATTAAAGCAAGAAGAATCATGTTGGGTCGAAGTGGAATATGTTATAAAATTGGACGTCGAGCCGGACGATCAGTCGATGTATCTGTAGAAGGCTTCAGGCCATGGGTTTAGGCATCGAGCCAAAAAGAGAGAAAATTACACCAAGGAAATCAGAGTTACGGAGGTCAACTAGTCGATTGGGCAATAGGCCGCAAGAGAGGACGATGCGCCGAAGAATTAGACGAGACGTCGATGAACCAATGACATGCTGAACAATATTTGATTTAGCTTTGTAATAATTATCTAGATCGAAGTAGGTTTTAGGTGTAATTGGGTTGGAATTGGGGCAACTAAATTAGGGGCCAATTTGGGCCAAGTTTGGGCTATGCTGTTTCAAGTGAAAGACCCAAATAGTGACCCAACAGGTAGAACCGTCGATGGCATAGTCTCCAGGATTGTATCAGGTGGTGGTACCGCTAGTCTGGGCGGTGGTACCACCTAGACACAGCCTCTGAGACTGTGTCAAGTGGTGGTACCACATAGTGTCAGTGCTACAGGCGGTGGTATCGCCAGTACCCCGAAAACTGAGGATGAGATATTTTTAGGCTCCAAGTTTGAATCCATTTAGGGCCTATAAATACCTCTCTCATCCTTGCTCAAAAGACACAAGAACTGAGAGCAAAAAGAAATAAAAAAGTTATTGTAATCTTGAGAGAACTCTTCTCAAAGCTCTAAGTGTTGGTGAAGTTTAAGAGAGGAGGTAGTGGGGGTGTAAAGGTTCTCTCGTGAACTTGTCAAAAGGAGAATCGAGTGTAAAAGGGTAGTTGATCTTCGCCCATTGAAGGAAGATCAGTAGTAAAAGCCGATGGCCTTGAGTGAAGAGGAATCGGGAGTAGATATAGGTCACAATGACCGAACCACTATAAAAATCTGGTTTATATTTCTATTTTGCTCTTTACTTTCCTTGCAAACTACTTTACTTTCACTATACTTCCGTACACTTTTTAGTTAAACATTTTTCCAATACGATTTTATTGATCGAGTTTTCAAAATCGACGTTTTTATTGTTGCACTAATTCACCCACCCACCCACCCCCTTCTTAGTGTCGACTCGATCATAAAAATTAGATATCCAATAAGATAGGGGCCCAATATCTCATATCCAAACTTCTACTCATTACAACGCCTACCATATGTGTGTGACCCTCTAGGCCCAATATCGAGTTGGCCGTAAGTCATACTTGTCAGAACTCCTTCTAGCTCAGTGAATTATTATCTCTATAATAATTCACTTAACTCATGGACTGTGGACGTACTAGGCCACTATGTCGTAGTTCCCAAATGATATAAGGGAATCCAATCATTTGGACATATCTATCCTCAGTTATCATGTACCTATAGTCCGTTATCTATCTAATATTCTAGAGACCGTATACCAAGCATAGTGCTGTCAGGCCCATACAATTTCTGCATGAGTCTCACTCTAATCAGATTCTCCTAGAGAACTCTTTCTCTCTCAATCCGAATGACCATAGCTAGGGATTTGTCTGAGCAAAATACATGGGATATTCCTCTCATGACACTGAGAGCAGATGATCCTCTATCGATACTCAATAGCTCTCATAAGGTTGGCTATCACTCCCGATGACCGGTTATGCTAGATCTAGAACCTCTAGATCTATAAGTCTGGTATCAAAAAGTAAAGTATTCATACAAGACATCCTTGGTATCTCAAGTCTAAAGACTATATACACCACTGGGACGACAGAATCGCTGTCTAATAATAAGGAACCATCAATCATCCAACATTCTAAGCAGATCAATCAGTGAACTTATTCTTCAATGAGCACCGGCACTGTATCCCTAGTGTCCCCACATAAGCAGCTATGAGATCGACTGCATCCATCATATGGACAGGTATACAACACACCAGTCTGTCTGGTTATCTCGATGTCCCTATCAAGTAACCTATGATTATGATTATTTAGGATATGTGTTTAAAGGCGAATTGGTCTCATTTTCGTGATTTCATCATGATCCGATTCCTATTGCATAGATCCATAAATATCGTAATATATTCATGCAATAGGCAATATAAAGTGATAAAATATCAAATAATAATAATAAGTAAAAAAGATCGCATGTCAAGTCACACGTGTCATCACTCATATGATTGGTTTGTATGGCACCTATGACTGGCAACTACATATAGTTATATGGTGAATGTGCGACATTGAGATATTATAGTTTCTCTCTCATCCTTCCTATTCCTAATCTATCAATGTAAGTGGTTATGTGAAAAAATAGGAAGAGAGGAGAAGAGTCTAGTTCTCCTTGCATATCGACGATAGTTCTTCGGACATGAAAACGATGCCCCTATAGATGTTATAAGGTTCCTTCCAAATAAACACATCGTAAATCCGATCTATCATTATTTAATTTTAATCTTGATATAAAAATAATTTCATATTACATACGACATAGTACATATTTTATGTTTAAAAAAAGTTTTTTCTTTATACTTGCAATGGCAATTTATAGGTGTATCTCCCAATCGACATCAAGTGAACTATTCTAAGTTAAAACAACTGATCTGACAGGCCATCAGTTCTCTATCCATTCTCTTGTGCAGCGACCACAAAATGCAACCTAAGTCTCTGATGCCACCCATAGTTAGATGAAGCATTGAAGCTTACCGTGGTCTTGTCTGGCACTGACAACTCAACGTCCTCGGTCATCAACGTCGCAAGACAAAGCCATTGCTCCTTAGAATCCTTGTCTGCTATCTTGGTTTGCTTTCCCTCTTGAAACAAGCCACCAAACACTGATGGATCATTCCAGCTGCCAACAATCTAATTTAGTAAAAACACTCGACTACCCTTCCGGGAGTCACAGCTTTTTGTTTCATGATCCCGCTTGTTGAACACATGATTCCACTCAAGGGAGCATTGTGTGTCCTTTCATCATCTTAAGGCCTGTTCTCTTCTTTGTTAGAAATTAATAATGCCATCAAATCATAAATTTCACCATCAACTTGATAAGAATAAAATATTAACCCAAAATAGTAGTAATAAATTCATCTTATTCTAAGAGTCAATCGAAGATAAAACATTTTGTCGATAGATGCTTGTGTAATCTTAAGTTGTGTAATCTTAAGGGTGCTACATAGTTTAGGCAAAGTAGCTGACCTATTCACGTGATATACAAAAATTATATATCCAAAATTTTCAATTCAAGTTATGAATTAATACTAGAACAATAATTTATCCCTATAAACCAATTCAATATTACATATTATATATTAAAATAAAAGTGTCATAAAAATACCCTCCACAAGTCAATGAATGATAGAGAGGATGCACATTATTTTATTCGCTCTTGTGAATGGACATTTCAGTCTTCAGTCACTGAATGTACTATAACATTTTTATGATGGAAAATATTAAAAGTTCAGAATACATGACTACAACCTTAAAAGTCAACACTAGCTATTATTTGTATCCCTTGTCATGGATAAGTTCATGTTGAGATTATTTTCACATCATAACATGATGGCAAACCTCTCTCAATATTGAAATGGAGGTCATGACAAACTATGGCATCAATCCATCTTTATCTTTATTCTCCACTTTGGTAATGCTCTCCATGATTCTCCAAGTTGGGGTGCATGGGATCCACTCAACCACTGCAATCCTACAAACTAATCAATGAATGGTACCGATCGCAGATGGAGAGAAGAAAATGTGATGCATCTCTTGCTTTTTAGTTGTAATATTTTACTCTTTTAGTATCAGACAATTGACTACGAAGTAATTTTATATTGCTAAAGAAATAATATTGGGTTCGACCTATAATTTGATAAACTTAATTAATTGGACTCATTAGGCCACTTAAAATCCAATTTTTCTCATTTAAATGGTCATTTAAAATCGATTTATTCTGTCCATTATTTTCAAGCCAAAGCAAACCTAACAATTTGGAACATTTAATCCTTGCATTATATTTTTGAATAAGAATATGAGTAAGAGTACGCTCGACTCTTACAGTGACGCACTCGACCCACTACATGTGTGTTGGTCACATGGTGGGTCCCGGCCAGAAATGATAGAACGGGTGTCTCCGTGGGTCCCACTTTTGACTTGGTCCAGACGCACCCTCACCAACCGAGGCTTGCGTGACACGACCACCGGGCAATCGAGTCCCGACTTAACCCACGAACAAATTAAAGCATCAATATCTCACTCTTTCTCCACAGACGACAACTTTTGTCGCGATATGAACGACGTGGCGTATATCTCGTGACTCAAGTCGGAGTATCACGTATCTGTCGTCGTCTCTTCCCTTTCCATTTTCTCTTTCTTTTTTGAGCTATAAATTTCCAGTACTCTCCCTCTCCCTCTCCCTCTCCTTCCCCTTCACAGTTCACCGTTCTCGCTCTCTCTCTCTCTTCTCTCTCTCTCTCTCTCTGAGCCTCCGATCCTATCCCCCGAAGTCCGAGAGGTATGAATCCCTAACCCCCATGGTTTCTCCGCGATCGCTTAGATCTCCCTCGCCCTGTGCCTTTCTATTGCATTTGAATGATTCTTTGAATACCCTATGGATCGATCGACGCTTTTGTGGCTTCGGGTTGTTTTGTTATTAATCGTCTCTCTCTTCGTGATCTAGTTTTAATCGGCCTTTCTTCGGTGGTGTATCTCGGGTTTCGTCTGTCGTGATGTGATCTGATATCAAATTTGGCCGGATAATTCCTCTTTCTCTTCAAAATCATTTTTTTACCGCATTGATGTGATGAAAGAACTTAGTGGGTGATGGATCTGAGGTAGAAGCCAAACAGGGTGCAGTAATTGGATGGAACTTCGTTCCAGGTTTCATTTGTGACTTATGGTGCCGGAGGCATCACTGCTAGTTTATATCTGGTTGTATAATGCTTAGTCTTGTTAATTTAGTCCATCTTTAGCATTCTGAACTTGATATACTGAGGGCGAGATGGCATTTTACACAAAAGCCCTCAAGATCACATAATATTTTACACTATGATGCCAATGGAGTAGTCATATTCTGAATCATGGAGAGTTTTGTGATCTCTTACATGAATTCTTAGTGGTTTTCTGAGGAGGAGAGCTGTTGGCATTGGAGAATACTCGAGAGGAGTTGGTGTCAATGATCATATGGTTCTTTGTTTGTGAATACTTTTAGAAGTTGTAGGTTCTCTAACAATCATGTGTTGCTTCAACTCGATTAACCTTTTACTGTTGTTACCAGTCATGGGTTCCACAGGTCCATAATAGTTTTCATTTCCAGTTAGACGCAAACCCTTGTTTATGTGCACAGGTTCCCTTGTGCACAAAATTAGGGCCCATGCCAGCTTAGGAGGAAAAACTGATCTGCACCATCATTGTAGACGTGTCACCAACAACAAAACACAAACAGTAGGCAGAATGTCTTTTGTGATTACTGGAATGGATGAATAGTAGAAGACGAAAACCTGGTGAAAGTCGATCTTGGTAAGAAAGATATGCCTTTTAACGGGTTCTAGGTAATATCCTAAATTTAGAATTCAACAGTAGTACAGTGATGAAATGTAGGCTGATTAATTTTATAGAAGAACATTCTCTGAAGAATATTATTAATTTATATTGATATTTGTACTTCGCTTGTATGACTACATGATAATCTAGTATTGTGCGCTTAAACATTTAGTGTCAGTATCTCTTCAGTTCTGCATCTAAAAGCTTACGTTACACATGCTATATTGTGAGCTATGTGAATATTTGACTAAGGAATATGCTTTTATCATTTGGCAAATCCAAACAAGACTCTTAGGAAAGATACTCATCATTTTGCCATTGGTGTAAAATGGAGACGTTGCAATGAATATGGCTCAGCCCTTAACATGACAGAAATTTTGATTGTCCAGAAGATAAACCCCTTTCTTTGATTGAAAGACAACTTTAATTGACATGCATAAATGTTGAGAACCGATGTGAAGGTGGAAAACAGTACGGATGTAGATTGAATTGTATTTTTAGTGTCTTATCTGCGATTTCAATTTGCTTATTTGTGTCGCAATGACATGTAGATGCCTCTGATATTCAAGAGTTTGGTATACTATCTAAATTAAAAAGTCAAAAGTTTGGAGCATAGTTAAGGTTATCACAGTTTGAATATGTTCACTATGTCAGCCCTTGCAATGTTATCCAGAAAAGATATGCCATTTTCTGCTTTGACCATTAAATGAGTTTAAAAGTTGGGTCATCGGCTAGGAATCTGTACAAGTACTTCACCTCCAAAGATCTGGTTTCCTGGAAGTTTCTGTTATGAATATCCCAGATAATATAGGCACTTGTGGCTTTTATTTTGCAGATTGTTGAATCTTATATACTGTAAAAGCAAAAGATGGGACGTGGAGTGAGCAGTGGAGGGGGTCAGAGTTCTCTGGGCTACTTATTTGGTGGCGGTGAGGCTCCCAAATCTGCTTCTGATGATGCTGCACCAGTTCAAAAGCCAGCTCCTCCTCCACCTCCTATTAACAAAGAGATTCCAGCAGGTATCCAAAGCAGTCAAGCTAAAAACTGCTACCGAGCGGATGGACAGAACTGTGGCAATTTCATCACAGTATGATATCACTGGCTCAACTCCTTATAAAAAGCATATATATTAATGGTTCATTGTTTTACCAAAATATTTTTTGCATCTGCATCTGAAATTGTTGTGCACATCCTTATCTGTTAGCTGTTTAGATATAAGTATGACTATCAAATTATTTAAAATAAAAAGGACCCACTTCTTTCTCTCAATTCAGCATTGCTTCCTTCACAGAATTGAACTCTTCATTTCTGCTTCAGAAGAATGTACTTATTATTGACTCTAAGTGGACTTGCATGATCATTAAAATAACTCTTGCAATTTTCTCATCCTGAATTCTTCTCCATCTATGTATGGCATTTGTTGACCTTAGGTAGAATTAATAAAAAAATGTTTGATTGTTAAGTTGAATATGTAAATCATTAGGCTGTGCTGATTCTCATGCCTTCAGGACTTGTCGCACTAGATTTACTTCTATCTGATGCATTCTTATGATAGAATTGCTTCGAAGGTAGCAATGACACTCTTTATGATTGTCTTTTGGAATAAAAGACTAGTTTTGTTCTGTTACAGCAGGAGAACATGCAGTGCCAGCATGAATGGCATGTAGTTGATCATGTCTGGTGAAGCATATGCACTGGTATGCAGATGTTATATGCTTCTGGATGTAATATATTGTTAGCAAGAGAGAGGTCTTGTTATGCATTCACAAGATTGAAGTCTTTAATAATTGTTAGCATATGAGATGCTTAATAAGTGTATCCTGCATTCGAGTTTAGGCATGTAAATAGTGTTTATCTTAATCCATCAATTTTTTCCTACTCTGCTTCTATAGTTTGTGCTTTTGTTATGATGTCTTGTTGAAGTATCAAAGGCCAGCAAGTCACGAACAAGGTGATGGCAATAGGAACATGTCCAATCCGTGATTACCACTGGGCAAAAAGCTGGTGAAAAGCTTTCCTTGTCCATTTAAGTTCCTTGTAACAAGTGACTACTCGTCCTAAAGCTGTAAGACAGCTCATACCATATATATATATATATATATATATATATATATATATGGTTTAGAAAAGCACATGATTATATAGTCATTTGTTGTTTTATAAGCATTTTCTATTTATATTATCTGAATTTATATGAAAATATCTAATGATTGTTGTGGATTTTAAATGATATATGATTTCATCATATTCCAAAAGGTATACAAAAAATTTATTGAGACTCTTAGTTTTGTAAAATGTAATACATAAATTATTTTTGGTGATATGATAGTTGGTATGATCTGAACCCACTAATGGGATTATATATATATATATATATATATATATATATATATATATATATATATATATATATATATATACCAACTTGTTTCTCTCTTGTGACCAGTTAAAAGTGGTATTGTTTTGTGCTACTTGTTCTTTGTCCTTGCCGAACTAATCATGAAATTTTAATTATACAGGATCGACCTTCGACCAAGGTGCATGCTGCTCCCGGTGGTGGTTCTTCCCTGGGTTACCTGTTTGGCAATGGGGGTAATTGATGCTCTTCCTGGATCCTGTAACTCCTATGCATGTGGCTGTTCTAGTGGAACCTTGTTTGCAAATATGTATGTGGTAAAGACTCTTTAAGCATGTACAACTTTGCATCCAAATGTATAAGAAAGTGTCAGGGTGATGAGACAAGAAACATCTAGTTGTGATTGCCTTTTCTTTTCCCTTTAAAAGTGAATTTTTACTTGAGATTCAATTCTCATGTTATTATGGCTGGTGTTTTTCTTTTTGATCTTTATTGCTGCCTGGCTTCTTTGATTGCTTGCTTTTTGAATGGTAGCCGAGGGGGTGGTTTAGAGGCACAGAAAGCTACACGAACAAAAGGTAAATCTAACTAGTTAGCAAATTCCGGAACCAATGTATCAATTTATGGGCCAGTAATGCCAATTGTGATGTGACACTGGCTTTGTTCTCAAACCTCTACTTCTTTTCATGGTATGGAAATGAATTAGAGTTCTCAGCAACTGTGTCCCTGTCCTGGCAGGATTAAACATGAATCATCCCATCATTTTGGGTTCACTGCCATAGCATGCTTGGCGGCTGAATCCTTCTCGGCAGTAGCCTGCAGTTCCAGCAGCCGCTGCTGCTCCTCGTCATCGGTGACCGCGGCCTTGGCCTCGGTTTCTGCTTTCTTCGGCTTGGTGGTGGACTGCTGGTAGAGGACGCCTCCGAGCATGCAGATGAGGAGGCCAACGGTTCCGACGAAGGTGGAATGCTTGTCCCAGATCATCAGGTTGATCACCACCGTCAGCAGCTTGTTCACTATGCCAAGCACCGTGAATCCCGTTGCGGAGATCGCCCTCCGGCAGGAGAACCCGAAGAAGGATATGGACAGGCCGAACAAGCACGACAACGCCACCGGCAGCACCACGCCGATGGAGAACCGGTTCGTCCCGTCGGAGACGGCGCTCTTCATCTGGTTCAGCTCGCCCATCACCAGCAGCTCCAGCGGGAACAGCAGCAGCGCCTCCAGGTTGTTGTACAGCACCAGCCCCCAGGTGTTGAGGCCGATGGTCATGACGACGTGCTTGATGTAGACGAAGTCGATGGACATGCTGACGAGGTAGGCGGCGGCCCAGGCGTAGGCGGTCACGGTGAACTGGTAGTCCGTGAGCACGTAGAGGACGCTGCCCCCGAAGATGGTGGCCAGGGAAGCCCACGTCTTGAGCGACGGCCATGGCTGCTCGAGGAAGAGGGTCTCCCCGACGGCCACGAATATGGGGACGACGGAGCGGAAGACGATGAAGGTGTCGACGTTGGCATGGAGGAGGAGCTCGCTGTTGGTGAATATGGAGACGTAGAACATGAAGGCAGCGGGGAGGAACCTCCACATGGTTTTGAGGTTGAGGGAGTCGTGCTCCACAAGCTTCAGCCAGCCGCAGAGCAGGACGCCGAGGACGCTGGTGAGGTACTGCAGGGCTGTTAAGGCGCCCGGGTATGGGAACTCCATGACCGCCCACTTGTTGATGATGGAGAGCAGGGATGCAGAGATGCAGTAACCAGCAGCTACTCCGTACACTGATGCTTGATGTGCTAAGATTTTGAGGGTGTCATTCCAGGTAAAAACATATCTCGAGGTTGAATCCAAATTGTTGTCACTGCCGGAGGCATTGTTCTTCGGAGCCTCACTATCATTACTCATCTGCAGAAAACGATCGAGAGATCATGATAGTAAATTTCCTGTCATAATATATATATTATGCACTGGCAATCACATTCATGGCCTCAGCATCATAGAATCTGGAATGTCCATATGAAACACATCAATGCTAATCTTATTATTATCTGATATGTTCTTTATTCAGTGACAAATATGAATCTGCATCCATATGAAGGTGCAGGTTAGAATGGCTTGGAAGGCAACTACATACCGTGGAACTATTGGCGAAGATTTTGTACTATATATAAAAAAAATGCATGAGTTTATAAGATTTTTTTTTTCATTATCTCTTCCTATAGGAAAAATAGAACGCCATAATGTATATAACAATAAACCTTGAAGCACCCTTTTGTATTCTGGAAACTTGTCACGGTCGAGTTGCCTCCTGACGGTTGAGTGGATGAATTTTCAGTACACAGGACTTTCACATCCATCATTATTATGAATGTTACGGACGAAATAAATTTTCAGTATGAGTTTTGAGTTGATCAAATATCAAGTTAAATAGAGACATATTCATATAGTTTATTAGTTATATCTCCTCGTGTAAAAGAAATAAGGAAATAAAGTCATGCATCTCTGGACACCTATTGAAAATTACCCAGATAATCTGCGTTCCGATGCATCTCTGGACACCTATTGATCTATATGGGTTTTTATGGGTTGTTTTTGTCACGATTGTAACATTATAAGCTAACTAACCCATCAATTTTATTTGACTCAAATCACTAAACAAAATATTTAAGTTAAAATCAATCTTAGTCTTACCTACTTTCGATACTAGACTAATTTGGTATTAAACCTTCTCCCCATCACACTTCTCTTTCGTCTTCAACCATCACAAAAGGACCATAACCATCATGTTAACAACACCACTATCAAAAGCAGCTACACCATAAACTACCAATCGTTAACGTAGTCCTCATCGATAACCACCACCATATCTGCCACCTCTTCTACCGCATCATCCACTCAACCACCGCTTCACCATCTAGGACTAAGGGAATTAGATCTTTTTCAATTATGTTAAGGATTGTTTGCAAGATGAATGTTCCTTACCCTCAAGGCTTACATGATATATTAATACGAGAATAAGATTAACCCAACCCCTTGATTGTATCTTGTCTAGGACTAACTCTTAGGCATACTTCATTTTCGGTCCTTCCATCTAAAGTGAGCTTTCTAACCTCTTTTGCTTTCTTTACTTAGTTATTTTATATTTACTTATCTAATTCATTAAATCATTGGTCAAGTTAATCAAAAAATTAATCAAGTCATAGTTGAAAAGATGAGTTAGCATCCTTACGCTACCACTTATCTTTTTCAATCTATTTGACATCATTATCTCTCACTACACCTTTTAGTTTTGCTCGTTGCACACCACACCACTCATCCCTATATCATATCATATTGGTATCAAAACAAATTGGCCCAATTATTTTTTTGCTTCTTATACTATTTATTTTACTTCCTTGCATCATCATTTACTTTCAATATTTTTTAATCTTTATTTAATATTATTTTATTTATTTTTCATACGTAGACATTTCCAAATATGCCAAAATTCAACTCACTTGTAGCCCTCTAAGTTAAAGAACCATCCTCAAATATTTTAGCCAAAAATATCACTTACATCCTACCTAAACACCTTAAAATCTCAACATTATCCTTACATCCCATATTGCACACATTCTACCTATACGACTACATATAATAGAATATCTTACCAGCCAAATAAGTTTATCAACCTAGACAACCTATGTTATATTTAGATCAGGTTACATAAGTGTTGGCTCAAATCAATGTTAAACTTGAGGCTATGGAAGCTCACCTAGTTTATTATGAATAACAATATCAAACATTTAAAGAGCGCTTGACTACTCTTAAAGCCACTTTGTTGCCATCTAGGTGAATGGATCATCTCGATGATAACCTAACATTTAAACTCGTATAAAATTTACTATAATCTAGACGACCACTTTGAAACACTATGGGCTATTTCGGGTGTTCTCAACAATGACGATCTTGCTCTTATTATCTTGCTTGAGTGGAGGACAAAATCTATACTTATCTTATTTTCTTATTAGATTGAGTTATTAGATTGAGTATGGTTTAGGCATGAGATCCATTTGTATTAGATTTTGAGCTTGAGCTTGTATAGGGTCATCAAAGAAGATATTATACATATATCTTAAAGTACATATGATAGGAGATCTTGGAGTGGAGATATGGCTTTATTCTATGAATCCCTAACCTCATCTCTTTTAGAAAGGAGTATGTGACATTCATGTAATGATGAACATCTATCTCCATTATATGGATCCCGACACACTTCTCTTCCAGAAGACAGACATATGATACTCATTCAAGAAATATCTATCCTTATAAAAGCATTGTAAACCCTATATTTTGGAGTTAATGAATGAAGAATTGAAGAATTGAAGAACTGAGAGCTTGTAGCCACCAACAACCTTAGGTGAGATGTGTAAGTGAGGAGAGATTCCATATGGATAAGAGGCCCTACTCTATCTTCTTCCTCTTTCCCTCATTCTCTCTATCACCCTTCTCCTTTGTCTTTAACCATCATAACAACACCATCACTATCATAGATGCAACACCACTACCAAAAGGAGTCATAACATCAGCCATCAATCACCGTCAATGTAGCCTCCATCAATAACCATCACCCTACGCACAACCTCTTCTACTACATCATCCACTCAACCATTATTTTATCATCTAGGACTAAGAATATTAGATCCTTTTCAGCTATGTTATGGGTTATTTATAGAAGAAATATTCATTGCCTTAAAGCTTAAGTAATGTATTAACTTGGAGAATAGGATTAATCCAGTTCTTTGATTGTATCTTGTTTAGGACTAGCTCTTGGTATACTTCATTTCCAACTCTTCCACCCGAAGTGAGCCTTCTAACCCTCTTATGTCATTTACTTAGTTATTTTACACTTGCTTGTCTAGATTTATTAAATCATTACTCAAGCTATTCAAATAGTTAATCAAGTTATAGTTGGGAAGATGAGTTAACATCCTGATTGCTATCACTTATCTTTCACAATCTCTTTGACATCATCATCTCTCACTACACCCTTTATTTTTGCTTACCACATGCCACACTACTCACCCCTACATCACTATACCTCGATCTTTCTTCATTGGGGTATTTCTTCAGTATCTCTGGTTCTATAATTCGATAGTCATAATGAAATTTGGGAGACAATCAATTTTTTTGGGTTTGAGGAAAAATCCTAAACTTGATAGTTTTACTATGGAGTTTTATAGATTCGGATATTATCTTTGATTCCATGATATAGGCCTTCTAGGATTTCTTTGACCATGTTGTGCTTTTCTTTGATTGGACTAAAAACTTTATTATTTTTATTTCGAATATCAACAATCATAAGGAGATGACTTTCAACCTATATCTCTTTACAATATGAACTATTGCATTCTTTCTAAAGTCGTTGCTAATAAACTCAAAGTCTTGTGCGAACTCTTTTACTTCTAAAGAATGATACGCTTTTATTTTAGAT